TTTTTTTTTCTGCTTGGTTGGGATTGAGATTAAATGAGGGTTTGGGTTGCGGGAACGGAATTCCCCGCATTTGACGTTAGGGTGTTGTTTATGCATGTATTTCAAGGGGGGGTTCAAGACTCGGAAGGAAATAATATTATATGAAAATTAACTAGGGAGGGTAGGTATGAGGAATTTGTTTTGATTCAATCTAGACCGCTTGTTTGGATTCTCGTTCCGCTCGGGTTGATAGTCACCCTTTTTCTATTTCTAATCTTGGGTCTACCTGACCATGTTATGTGTCACTGACTCACTTTCGAGCTACAGAAGTGATTTGGTTAAAATCAATAAAAGATTATTGGTAAATATTTCTAAAGGTTTAGTACAGCATTTATGGCTTCGACACGTCCTCAATACCGCTGCCATGCAAAAGGAAAAAAAGAAAAAAAAAAAGAAAAAAAAAACCAATAAATATGCTCTGAGAACCACCAAATGCGAGCGAGTATGGTTTATATGAATATGACAACCCATGCAAAGACAACGCCAAAAATAAACAAACATAAAAAAAAAGCTCATGTGAATATATAGCTCACACTGTTCGAACGATGTCGTCTGCGTCTTCGGTGAGTATGCGATCGGGAACTGTGTGTCGATCCTGCCTCGCTATCCTGGTACGTTTGGGCACGGCGAATAGACCCACGACTGGCTTTCAGCGATGATATCTCGCCTTTTTCTGGCTCGGGTGCTGTGATGGCTGCAACGGGGGTTGGCTCTGGAAGTTGAGGAACCTGAGGTTGTTCTATCGTTTGGGCACTGGCGCCGAGGAAACGGGGTGGTGGGTTTTGGACGAGACCGACTGGTAGATACAGTTAGCTACTATTCTCATGAAACATATACGAGGCGCATTTGTTATTGAATTAAGGTGAATGTAGGTATATTTACCTTGAAGCATGAGGTTGTCCCATATCGACCGCGGCGGTTGAAATACTCCGATATTCTGAACAGCTTTCTCGTCCACCCCTGGTAAGTTCATCCAAACCAGATATGTTCCACGGTGGATGTCGCCCTCAATCCGAAACGGATGAAGTTTCTCCGGAATAAGCAGTGGTGTAGGGATAACAATTGGCTCATAAGCCGGAATAACCAAATGGAAGAAAGGTGGCCTCCGCCGTGGATGTCGCGTGGCGTATACATCTCGGACAGACGACATGAAGGCGACCAGGGCATCGAGGTCATGCACAATGCCAATAAAATTCCGACCCAAAAGACCCTTAGTCCGCAGCTTCTCCTCGAAATGATATGTCCAGTCTGTGTCCGGATGATACACGAAAAACCAGTCGAGCTCGGGGTCCGACTTTTCGATCTTCGATTTCAGCATCACATAGATATTCTCGGCGAAGGCTGTTCCCCCTGCGAGCGCAAGCTCGGCTCTTTGTGTCTCGCTCATACTTTTCAGGTGTCCTGCGATCGCCCGCAGCTCACCTACGCCTTGATAAGTCGCAATCATGTTGGCGGCGATGCCGACTGCTCCCACGGTACCGGTAAAGGCGGTTGCATAGGCGGCTTTGTCGCCGAACGAGTTCGCGGCGATTTTAATCGTCTCGATGACTTTTTTCACGGTATCGCTGGTAATATTGAGTTTCTGGCCGACTTCTTGTATCGTTTTCAGAGCATCGTTTGTTTGCTCAGCTAACTCCAGCACCTTCTTCTTCCGTTGCTCGAATAGCATCATTTTGCCGGTGTATGTCCGCTACCTTGGCGGACCGGGCGCACTTTTCTCGTCAAAATACTTCTAGCGGTGAATGAATGGATCGTCCGAGAATTGCTCGAACACGGTGGGTTAGATTCGACTAGTGGACTACCCAGTTCGGGCACTACTCTATCTCGAAAGCTTTGGTCGGATCTAAGCAGGTAATATGTCAGTTAATGAGAGTGAACAAACACCCCGCCCCCCGGTTCTTTGACGGATAAGCTCACATATAGCCATGGTGATACGCACAATGGAGACCAACTGGAATTATGTCATGTTTTAATTTCCCTTCTACGTCCAGATGAAAGCTCCATAATATAGAGCCCAAGTGAGCTATACCGAGTTAATTGGGCGCCCCACAGCCCGATCATTGGTTATCCGCATCGACACGTATGTTGGCTCCGTTTTGCTTCGCTGTACCTCGATGGAGCCACTTCGGTTGGATTGGGGACTGATTCATTTGACAACAAATTGTCCATTCGCATTTTTAACTGTGAGTGAACAAGGAATGAAATCGTCGTACCCATTGTGAATGGCAGTTATGAATGTACTGCTCAGGGCTTTGATCTAAAAATGGTTTGTTAGGGTTCTTCGGAGTGGCTGATAGTTGACTCTGATTTAATCAGACCTCGTCGGCAGCCCTGACGAGGCCTGCCAATGTGGGCCCTTCGGCAGTGTTTCATGAGCAGGACATAATATATGTTTCGTTTCACATCCACAACGGTCGGTCGTCTATACCTCTTTGCATTGTGACCGCAATCTCCTCGTAAACGAACCGAACCAAGAACATTTTAACTGAGCTAATTTAGCAATAAGCGGCGTTGCCCTCGAGACCGCATACCCTATCGCCTTCCAACCTTGACAAGTGATCTCCATTGACCCTAGGAGAAAAATACCATAAACAAACCCGATATAATTCTTATCGAAGTTCTGAGTGTAGGATGTCCTTGCCAACGAGGACAATTTCGGTATTTCAATAGCGATCAGACTGCGGCACATAGTCATAGACAGGTTGTCAATGAAGACAGAGAAAAGATGCCGTATGTAGTGAATCATTGTTGATTCTTCTAGCGTTATTTCTTTACTCAATGATGAACGGAAAGAGACAGAACACAAGGAAAGGAAATAAACAGGCGTTGGACCATCGTAATATCGCATAGACGTTCTTGCAGAATCGTCTTCATACTAATAATTGATTTTGAAGATAACCACTTCTGCTGTACATCGTGCAACAATATTGAGCTTCAACGTAGGTTCTTTGGTATTACAAGATTGTTATTAACCAGCATCGACATCAGGCAAAGGGCCATGGACGACTTCATATCTGGATTAGCGAAAGATAGCGAAATGCAAGTCAGAGCTTAATAATGCGTGATCTTGGCAATGCGAGTATTGTTATTTTCGAGCACGGACTAGAATGTACAAACGCAGTCTGCCACATAAATAACCGTTATGCGAACAAGCCTGACCCACAATCGCACGTTGGTCAGGCGCAGAGCAGAGTATATTGCAGCCTCGCAGGAATCTTATCTGACAAAATACGAGTATAGATCCGCGCTTATGCATCAGATAAAACGTCCGAGGGCCTTGATTCATAAGTATATCTGACCAGATCATGCCACATGCGAGTAGCTAGAGACACAACTGACCAGGAGCTGGGGCAGTGAAAAGTAAATACTTGAGCGGATTCATCTATCTCCAGCTCAGTTGCATAGATTACGATCTTGCCAATCTTTCTACCCCGCGGGGCTGTGCCACGAAAATCAACTAGTAGACTAGCTAGTAGACTAGCAATGGACCTAGGCCCCCCACGCCCTCGATCCGAGCTTTGCGAATCCTGTCATCCTTGGCTAGGGTATTCTTAATATATAGCTTGGACACGGCCTGTCCAACAATTGAGCCAATCCTTTCAGAATCACATCTCCTGTAGTACATAATTGAACCATGGCGTCTACGGCATTTCCCTCCTTAGCGAAAAAGGTCCAGCTCTCCGATGGCACAACTTACGGCTATGTCGCTGTGCCTCCTTCGACTCCAGACCATGTCTCCTTTCTCCTTCTTCATGGATATCCTTCTTCGTCGTATGACTGGCGTCACCAGATAACCGGCTTGCAAAAAGCTGGATATGGTGTTATTGCGCCGGACCTTCTCGGATACGGCGACACGGATAAACCTATTGATCTCAAGGCTTATCGCAACAAAACTATGAGCAAACATATCATCGAGATACTGGACAGAGAGGGTATAGATAAAGCAGTCATGGTGGGACACGATTGGTACGCAAACCCACACTTCCTTTTACCATTTCTCCCGTATTCTGTATATCCTGGTTCTACAAGAGGGAATACAGCCATCACTACTCTTAAGAGGCCAATATCTTGCGCCAATTATACTCGTATCGCCAAGTAATGAGCTCATCTATATGAAACAGGGGAGTTGGCCTTGCATCCCGTCTAGCAACATATCATCGCGACCGATTCTACGGTCTAGTTACAATCGCCGTTGCATACATAGCACCAGGCAACACCTGGGACGTCGGTCTGTGCCCTACGAATCCCCTTCCTTCCCCATCAACACACCCCCAACTAACGACCCCAGACTCTATCTGCGAAACCACCAAAAACATAGTTGGCTACGAAACCTTCGGCTACTGGAAATGGCACAACACCGCCGAAGCCGCCCAAGACTGCAACGACCATGTACGCACCCACCCATACCCCCACACCCCCAATATACTTGATCTCCAGAACTAACAAAGATAACCTGAATACAATGATAGCCCGCCTCAGTCTTCACCCTCCTCTACCCCCATGACCCTCTGCTTTGGAAATCCGACTTCGCCCCAACCGGCAAAGCAGCCGAATTCGTCCGCTCCGGACGCATAGCTCCCCTCCCGTCGTGGTTTCCTCTCGATGAATATACCATCCATGATCGTATTTTCTCTAAGGGCGGCTATGCTGGACCCATGTCCTGGTATAAGGCTGCTATCGCGGGGGTTGATGCGGAAGATGAAGCTGCTATCCCCAAGGAGGATAGGCTGTGTCCAGTGCCGAATTTGTTTTTGGCGGCGAAGCAGGATCATGTCTGTCGGGCGGATTTGCAGAGTATTTCCTCCCGGGAGGTTGCTCCTAATGGGAGGATTGAGGAGGTTGATACGGGGCATTGGGTGCAATTGGAGGAGCCGGAGGTGGTGAATCGTTTGCTGGTTGAGTTTGCGGTTGAAGTTAAGGGTAAGGAGTGATGGCGTTGGTCAGGTATGGGCTTGTTGGTTTATCTCTTCTGTCTGCTGGTTATGCTTTGGCTCGTTGATTGTGGGATCGAGGTCTGGATCTTCTACCGGAGCATGTTGCTTGGTATATATGGAGTGATCATGGATAGATGATTCATTCTAAGCTGTCAAGCTAAACCTATTCTCTATTGTTTTAGTTTATGTTTATACTTTGGTAAATATGAGCCCCACGGTTTCACCATTTCTCACTTCCCTTTCACTCGCTTAGCAATATACTCCTTTTAGGCAGCCTGCATAAGTCTCCGGTCCATAAGGTGAAAAGATACTTCGAGATAAAATTCCCTTTTCTATGCGATTCCACCTCCAAATCCTTAAGAAGCCTGTCCATGTAGCCAATCCAATCAAACAAAAGCATAGGGGTATCTTTCCCCAGCATTTGCATAATCACATGCGGGTCCAAGCTTGGAATTCGCAGATCTCCTGAACAACAGTCCTCTCGTTGGGAAGATCAAGTTCGCCCAGCATATACGATATCGCCCAACTATCACGCATTAACAATTGCCATTGCACCGATGATGGCAACATCAAGGAGTTCTGTTGACACGTCTAGCATCATAGCGATGAAGCGCTAGAAGGTTATTATAAGGTCCGATGCCTTACGTCACTATCTGGCGCCATAACTGTATTTTTATCCAGCCATTGGCCATGATCCCGGACACACCTGCATCTCAAAACCAACTGATACGGTAGGTGTCAGATCGGCTTGGTCGAATGTTCAGATGGTTGCACTACCTGCTGCTTTATGGGTCAGCGCAAGTGCGGGTGAGCAGAGTGTAGATGTGGGTGGCTGAAGTTATCAAGCGGGTGAGTAAGATGATATAGAATAAGTCATTGACCTCTAGGTTTGCTGACTACCGCAGTAACAGTAGTCGAGAGTTAAGCTGTTATAGAATTAATTTATGTATTTTCTGAACAGAGGCCATCAACTCATACCCGCCTTAGGCGAGATTACGTTGTACACTTTAGTTACACTTTAGTTTTATTGGTTGTATCCGATATGAATGCCTTTAGTTGCGCTTACGGTGTCTACAAAGGATTGCACTTGACTAAACCCAACACTAGCCCGATGATTTGATTATAGGAAGAAGGTTGGGCTTCCTACTTGCCAAGTAATACAAAAGCGAATATTGAGATTTTAGGGAACCAGTCCGCTAGTCTTAGCCTAAGACCCTGCCAGGACCTCTCCAATAACCCTAATATAGCCCAGCCAAGCAGTAAGTTGACACAGTCCTGTCAATAAGTAATCAATTCATCTGCACTCCTTACTACTCAAATTAACAACAATGAAGACCCCCCCCCCCCCATCCAACCACGTCGTTAAGCCACACAGAGACCACTCATAGGTTCAATAAAAGAAAGTAATGTCAGAAAATAATCCACACAATCACCTGACAGATACCCATAGAGATAGCCTCTTTTCCCCAAGACAAAACCTACATGGGCCTGCACTTCATGCTCTCGATCATATTGTTGATGTTGTCATCATCAAGTTTGAGGTGCTCGCCCTGCATACCTTCCTTAAGCATCTGGTTGCTGCCGAACCCCATGTAGGCATCACAGATATACCCTGGACGGATGTTCATGGAGGAGATATTGTGGAACCTTATCTTCGCTTTAGAAGGGGATCACTTCTGATGCGGATAGAATACTTACCATGGAGTGTTTTCCGGGAATGAGTAGCAGAGATTAGCCTGGAGGAGCTGCAGGGAGTTCCCTTTGTACTCCATGTCTTGATATACAGTGGCCTAAGGGTTGTCTCGTTAGATGTGACTTGGATGGTTGGGGCTTTTCATGGGCAGATCTGTTAGATTATCACCCGGGCTTGTACTTACAGCAGGATTGTCCATCATAGATGCAGGCTCGGCGGGAGCTCCGCTAGCTACTCCTGCCATCAAGAGGCCCAGGGTAGTCACGAAAACGGTTCCGAAGTTGAACATTTTGCTTGCGAGGGCTGGGTCTTTCTTTGGAATAGAGGTTTTGAAGAGAAAGCTATGGGCGAAATGGTGGCGATGATATCCGATGATAAAAGGAGCAGTAACTAGGAAACAGAGGGATGTTTTATATCTTCGAGATCCATATCTCACTGGTTCTCATTTTGGACTAATCGGCCACCGAGCAGATCATTGTGTCAGGCTTCAATCACCACCACCCCCACCACCACAGCATTACATCCAAATGAACAG